CGGGTTTCGAAACTTTCGCCTCCGGATTTCGCCTCTGACGCGCGTAAAAACAAAAGTTTGAAGCGAAATTTACGCGCGTCAGAGGCGAAATCCGGAGGCGGCCATCTTTTTAGATGTTTATCGAGCATTAGCATTAGTCAATTTCGCCATTGACACGCGAATTAACACAAAGTGGTCAAGCGTCAAACTAGACGCGGTATACACGAATTTGACGCGCTATTCGCGTCCGGTGTACACGCACAGTTAGAAAGACGAAGCTGCTAGCAGCTAACGTTACGTGATTAGCTCTCACTAGGCACGCTACCTTGGCTGTTAACTGATTTTACTGTTGAAATAGTGGCAGGGTAGGGCTAAAGTGGACTTGGCTGGTTTCTGCTTGTCTAGAAAGTGCTTTAGGCCTATATGACTTTTCGACAAGCACTGCTCTGGGCTACATGTAACAACACGAACGGCAGTAGATCAAGCCTTCTAGGCTAGATTGGATAGCGTAATGTCACAACATCCAATTTGATAGCCCCAAACATACATACATTGGTCCTATACATATTTTGCCGTACACTGTAAACCTTTTTACAACTTTCAAAGTCCTAGCACTTTCTAGACACAAGCAGAAACCAGCCAAGTCCACTTTAGTCCTAGCCTGCAACTATTTCAACAGTAGGCCTATAGTATAGCTAGTCGACAACAAAACTATGTCAATAGCTTAAATCAAGTTAAATATGATCCAAGTGACATTGCCTCATCGTCTAGTAGTTTGTCATACTGTGAGTGTTAATGACAAAAAAATAGGCTACTTACTTGGTCATTCCACGAGATAGTGGTAACGTTAGATGTCTGAATAGTCCATATTTGGCCACTGCGTGGCGTCATTAATCCAGTTTTCGACCATTTCAAAGGGACACCTCTCTGTAACCCTGTATCCAGTAGCTTCTTTAAATACCGCTCACGGTCCTCGGCCGGCAAAGAGTGTATATGTTTGTGCCATTTTTGCTATCAAGAAACTTTGCAGATCTAGAGCGAGTTCTGTTCTCAGGGGAATCCGTTTGTTTTCCCCCAAAAAGGGGCGTTACCCTTCGATGACGCAAAAGTAGCGTTGGTCTATGAACACATTGAGGAGACTGTGAGGCTGTCAATCACCGCCCCGGTGTGGATACTGGCATTCAGAATCACAGATTATTCTTTTTGGAAGTATGACTAACAGAATAATTTTCACTGGAAAATGTCATCTGAACAAGTAAGTAACATCCACTTTTGTTCTGGTTCTGACATTGCCGTAAATCACGCTGATTAAATCTAAAAATCGCTTATCATTCATCACGCGAAACCGTGCAAATTATACTATGTTCTCAACTTGTTAATGTTAACAACGTCAGCATTGCGTGACTACATGTAATGTCCTTCCGATATGTATCCTTGTTTTCGCATGGGCCCGGTTGCAGTCTCTTTTTCTGTAAGTTTAGCCACTCCAAAGTCCGAACAAAGTCTTTTGCATTTTACAATGGGTGAATCTCTAGTTGTCACTGGTGATTGTCGTTTGAACCTTTCTGGATCCGCCATCAAATTGATAAGTTCAAGTGCTGTGAGAAAAGGCTATAAATCTCCACCTCCAACATCCTCACACGCAATATAGCCTACTAGCCGAGACTCCTTCATTATGTGTACAGATGTGACGTAATGACGCAAAGACATGCTCGAATCTCCCGCGGAAATCCATCAGTACCACTGTAATTAAAAACATTATTACAAGCTTACCGTTTTGAATCGAGCTACGGCAAGCAGATTGCGTTGAACACTGGCTGGTTATGTATTTTCTCAAATATGTATTTTGGATAATTTTTAACCCCAAAAAAGCTACGGACTGCAGCTTTAAGTCCAAAATGATGAACAGATTGAATTTAGGCTTTTAATGGTGTGATTCTTCTTTTCTACTTCTTCAAAAAAGTAAGGATGAATTTGACTGATGGCATTATTTATTTTGTCAAGATTTCGATATATAGTGATTTCGATATACTTTGTTATAACAATATATCGCAATATTTTGTGATTTTTTTTTTGGGCGTGATAATCTTGTAGTGATGAAAAATCTGATATCGTGACAGCCCTAGTACACACATATGTGCGTTTAAAAAAAGTATAACCTGATCTCACCAGTCAATGGTTCCCATGAGAAAAAACGACTTAATGAGAGAGTGTAAAAATGCAGGAAAGTTTGTGTTTAAGGTGTTAGGGGACAGAAAATATCATTAGCTCAGTATAAGAGCTATAGAAGGCAGTCCAAAATCACCAAGATGGAAAAACAAACGTGTGTATGTGTATACATGATGTTGTTTCCTGCCTTTGGTGGTAGTAGAGATGTTGAGCGGTGAGGCAGTAAATCGTTTGATTGTTTGATTCACCAAGGGAATCCTGGAACATATTTGCTGCGGTGTACACACACGCGCGGACACACGCACACACACATACACACACTATGATATAAACCCATTCTCTGCGTTCACACTCCTGGCTTTGTTTGCATCCCCAGGCCGCTACATCTAAATTTCTTTGTTTATTTTACCTTATGCTCTGTTTAACTAGTTTTCCCCTGCTGACTGCTTCTGTTTACTTCATTTTTTGGTACACTTTCACAGCCGAAAAGCAAAAAGGGAATCATTTCAATGCTTGTTTATGTATTGTACCTGAGGAAGGAACCATTTAAAAATATTTTTGTATAAAATTTGGCTTAACTAAGTATGCTTATACATCAAATATGTCTTAGATTGAGATGGTGCCTTTGCACCATTATAGAAATCTGATTTATTTAGAATGTTTTCATGCATTTAAGCGTGTGTCTCAGTGTTTTTGTGTTACTTTGAAGCTGTGTTGAACACACCTTGCATGTTCTCCAAGGCCCCAACCGGCTTAACTCCCTTTCGCTGGAAACTCTTCTGCAGAAGTAATCATGTTTTTGTGCCAAAGGCTAAACGCCTGAGAAATGCGGGGGCTCTTGTGATCGGTGACTATCAATGGTTGCGAGAAGAGAGAGGCTGACGTGAGGCAGGAGAGGATGGTGGAGAATGGAAACAAGGAAACAGCGCTCTTTACATGTACATTTGGTTGGACAGAATTAGCAATAGCAGGCATGAACAATTCAGACTGTGGAGGGATGATGGGAACAGATAAAAAAAAGTGTGCTCTTTGAGCCTGGATCAATTGTGAAGTTGAGGGATTAAGGCTGATCAGCCTTCTAAATGTTATCTGGAGCTCAGGCACGGACTTGAACCCATCTTTAAGAGGGAATAATTCCTCTGTGTCTTTTCCAGTGCAGATGGAGCCAGAAGTCTTACCAAACTGTCATGGAGCCTTTGCTGAAACCAAGAACTGTTTGTACAGAATACTTGATTCATCCAACAGTATGTTTCTGGAGAACTGTCAGCTGTGCCCAAGGCCAATCCATCTTTTCCACTCCGTGTTGTGGTGTTCAGGGTTTCCATCTTACAGTTTGACTCCCTTCCTGTTTAGCAATTATAATTCATCCTATTAATAAAGCATCTTAATGAATTAAAATAGTTCCATGGGATTCCCTACAGGTTGTGTTCTCTACTGCATAAATCACTGTCATCTGTCTTGTCTATCTATCTGTCTGTGTCTTTTCCCCTTGCTGAAACTCTTGTCTCTTGACTTTTGTCGAATAAATGCAAATAGTCGTATTGCAAACATCTTTTTCTTAATTTGTTTTTTATTTTCTCTTGTTATCCATTACAAATATGTAAACTCAAAACAAGACTAATTTACATAGAGCATAATTTGCATAGGATATTAAAAATATTGAATTAAGTTTATTCTTTACTCCATTGACAAATTACATTGACAGTTTGCTTTAAGAAATAGACAACCATATAAAATATACTTATTAAGAAAATGATTTTGTCACATTATACTTTGTTTGATGAATTCTGGACTTTATATGTGACAGATTTTTGCAGCATAACTGTGCATCTTTGTTTTTGAATTCTGCTGACTCTAATTTCATTAAATGTGGTTACTGAAGTTAAATTTTGAAGCTTCCCCAAAAAAACCCTGAAGTTTTCTGTCTTTTTTTGGCTTTTATAAACTTTAACAGTTGTCTGTGCATTCAGTTTTGCTCTGTGCTCTGAGGATTTAAGAGCCTAACTGTCTGAAATTGAGAAATGTGCAGAAATGAAGACTGTAGCTGTCTCAGGGTCTCTCATAGTTGCCACCTGACATTGTTACAGGAAAAAAAATAGCTTTTACCTTCTTCGGTAGAATACAGAATCCTTAAAATACTGGGGTCTGGGTCTGACTACAGCCTTAAGTTAGTATGGAGAGAGTGTAGAAATCTCTCCCTGTGAGCAGACACTTCATAGAAAATCAATTTCCTAGGTTAGGACACCATTACCGCCAGGTCCAAAAAGGTTTTTTAAAACATAATGGCAGTGAATTCACTCAATAGGGAGGAAAAAGATGCTTAGGCTTGGCATAGTTTGTGGGGTTTTTTTCTATTGTGCAAAGTTCTTTTTATAGTGCTAAAAACACTGCCTTATATGCTTATAGTTTTGCTGCCATCTGCATTCATAGCTTCAATATGCAACTCGTGTACAATATCTTAATGCAACACGTGATGTCTTGGCCTAATTATAGATAGGAGTCCTTCCTAGAACACAACATAAACATCTGTTTCTCTTCTTCTTGGCTCTCTGCCCTTTTCTCTCTCTCTTTTTTTTGCTCCCTCCATCATTCTTCCAGTACTTAGTTTGTTACACTTCCTCTTTGTTTTCTAGGCAATGCAGACTGCATCTGATGTTTATCCCGTGGATCCACTGGACAGCATATGCCAGTGACATCATCATCTCCCACAATTCCCACAAGACTCTTCCTTCTATGTGAAATAAACTCTACAGCAAGGGAGATAGACCTTAAACAATTGGGATTTTTCCCATGTTCCTGACGTCATCTTTTGGAAATGAGACTGACGCTTCTGTCTTTTCTCTCTACATGGAGGAAAGTCTAACGAAAAGCCAAGAGAAGGATTCATTTTACTTACAAAGCTGCTCCTTCTAAACCCAAAGAAGAGCCTGATGGTATCATATGATCTGGACTGATTGTACTCAGTCGGAGTGCCTAGCGGCAGCACTTTTGCTCCAGATGAAACTGATGTTTTTCCTGCATAATTCTCAGTCTGTCTGGAGTCGTTAACACACTGTGTGTTGTAGCATGTGGCTTGGGCTCAACATCCACAGCATCTTAATTACACAACCGATTCGCTGCCATTTAAAGATCTGCTTTCCTCTTTTTTTGTCATCTTTACTTATGCTATTACCCAAAAGATGCCCAAGAGATCCTGCTGTCTCCCACACATGCACCTAGTAAGTTTTTGCATATAATGTCTGTAACCTTTCCAGTGCTTCTCTTTCACTCCAGCATTAAGGTCATATTTATTCACACATCCCGTCATAATGAAGCCTTTATTTAATGATGCTCAAGTCCAAATTACCCGGGTTCAGTGACTATCCAGGGCCATTGGTCCCCGCAGACGCAGTGACCTTTGGAGAGGGCCAGACTGCTGCTTTGTGGCCCAACACCTTCACACACACTTCTACCCTTGTGCCCCTGGCAGTATATAGTGAATGGTAAATGTCAGCGCTCTGGCCATTGAATTATACGGTTTATTTAAATAAGTGTAAGAGCAGATCAGATCGGCCCACAATCTCCACCGGCAGCTTGCCTCCATCAACACGTAAGCCTTCGGCAATCTGGGAATTTTCTACAAAACATGACTTTTATTTGACAGACAAAAGTTTTTAAATATTAATGCTTAAGCAGTTTATTTAAAAACATTTTTTCCCAATGAAAAAAATAAATAAAATAAAAGTGCTTACAAAATAAGGTATTCATTCTTTTAATTAATCTTTTTTTCTTAATGATATCCGGACAATTGTATCACCCTCACTTTATTTGACTCCAAAAATTTGACCCCACAAAATATCAAACTGGATTTTAATATAGAAATGAAAACATACTCATCATGGAAAAGATTTATTCATGTCATTGTATGCATAAAGTGCATTTTTGATGTATTTCAGAATAAATGAATAGATAAAAGGTGACAACAAATTATGCATGTCTTTCACCAATGAAATTGAACTCATTTGATTACATTGTCTTTTATCTTGCGCTTGCTCTGTTACTGTCTCTCTTTTCTTCTTCCTCACAGCGTCAGACATGAGGGTTGCACCGACACGTTTGGCAGGACTACAGAAAGGGATCCCGCTTGACGTTCCACGTGGATAAATTAGTTTTTCTTGTCGGAGTTACACATTCTTTCCATATCTTTTACAACTGCGCGGCTCGTGGAAGACAACGGGAAAGACTTAAAAGGGCCTGATGCACCTTTTAAGAGCAGCATCAAAAATGAATAAATCATCAAGATGGAGTGAGGGCTAGTTCTTCACAGACAGCGCTGAAGGAAACCCTCTTCCCCCCACCTGCCGGCTCCCGAGCGAGCGAGAGCTAGGACTGAGGTCTCTGGCAGACTGACAGTTGCAGCCTCTCCTGCTCTCTAGCCTTGCGTTTTGTTGATGCATTTGCCTTGATTTTCACGTTCCTCTGCCCTCCCCTCCGTGTCTGTGTCATGCTCTGTTGCCGGCGTGCCGTCCTGGAGCCATGCCCATCCCCGAGATGGCTTTGAGCACGGTGAAGTCTCTGTACTGGGAGGTGTTCCCCTCCATGGCCACGCAGCGGGTGTACTGCACGCCCGTGCTCTGGGCCGGGCGCCTCTATGTGCTGGGAGGCTGCAGCGAGAACGGCCTCCCTTTGGACTCCGCCGAGGTGCTGGATCTGGAGAGCCAGCGCTGGTGCGAGCTGCCCCCTCTCCCCACCGCTCGGGCCGGGGCATCCGCCGTGGCCGTCGGAGACCAGCTGATGGTCATGGGAGGCATGGATGCGCAGCAGAGCCCACTGGCCTCTGTGGAAGTATATCATCCTGATGAGGGCAAGTGGGAGAGGAAGACGGGACTGGGGCAGGCCTCCATGGGCATCACCACACTGGAGAAAGGTAAGAAGTGTTTGCTCCTCATTTTGACCAATTCCTTGAAAGGATTCCTCAATAAAGAACCGCATTGGATGCTGGTTTGTGAAGACTGCACTGGTTGACCCAGCTCATTAGATAAACTGTACTAGTCAACTTGCATCACCAGGCAAGTTTTTTCTTATTACAGTGCAAAAAAATGTTTTTCCAATTAAAATAAAGTCTAAAAAATCCTTAAAACTTGAAATAAAATTGTGTAAGATTTTAAGACTTATTTTCAGAGGTTGTGCCCTTAATTATGCTTATTTTCCTTACCCAGTTGTCTCTAATTAGTCATGTATGAACCTTACTAAAAATTGTTAGTTTATGCTAAATTTGACAATGGGGTAAGAAAAATAAGCATAATTACAGGCATATTCTCTGAAAACAAGTCATAATATTTTATGCCGTTTTACATCTATGGTCAATGACAATAAGCGTATCCAGGAGAAAAAAAAAGTATTTGTTTCCTAGAAAAGTTTCCACATACATTTTTCAAGAAAAAACATTTGTACAATTATCAGAATTTTTTAATTCATTAATATGATTATTACATTTTTGTATGCTTTCATACATCACACCATATGTCATTTTACAGTCTGGATTAAACTGCCTCATTCGTACATTGTTCTGTACATGTTTCTGTATGTTAGTTACGCCAAATGACTTTGATTTGACAGACAAACGTTTTTCAAATATTAATAAAACTGAAGCAGTTTTTAAAAATATATATTTATTTAATGAATAAAAAGACTGCTTACAAAGTACTTAAGGTTTTCTTTTCAAAGTTTATTTATATAGCACATTTCATACACAATGGTAATTCAAAGTGCTTTACATAGAAGAAATTAAAATAATCAAAACAAATAAGAATAATTAAAATAAAATAAAAAATAAAATAAAGTACAGTAAAAACAGTCTATATTCTACTAATCATAGAACATATTTATTCAATTTATTGTACTCATTTTAATGTATTTTAGAATTTTTTACAAAAATAGCAAGCAAATTGATCTTATTTTATGGATGTTTAGATTTAGAATTTTTTTTTTTTTGTATGGGAAAACGAGATAATAATATTTCTTACCCACATCATTGTCTCTTCACTACTAGTGTAACTGTTCTGCTGTTGTAGTTTCTCAGACTAAATTGTTATTGTTTGTTTCACAAACCTCAGTGAGCAGGAGTGCGTAGAAAGACATCAGACTGTAATTGGGGAAAACAAAGTTTGGTTCCTCCCTTCGTCTTTCTGCTGCTTCCCATCAGAGCACGATTATCTGTATAATCTCAAATGCAGTTATCTTTGGTACAATCACTGCAGTTGTAATAAATGTCTCATAACCGGCGCCTCTGGAGTGCTCCGGATATACCAGCTCCAATTGAAGGAATCAGTCATGCCATATTGTGACACAAAGACTTACACTGCAGAGAAAAGTCTTTCACACACATTCTCCCTCCTCTCCAGCTTATGTAGGTGTGTGTTCAGGTGACAGTTTATCCAGTTTGAGACCCCGAGGAAAAGTGTTTATTCACAGGGATTCGCTTGCTAAGACGTATTCCACCAGCTGAGCCGCGTTCAGGCCGGGACAGATCAGTTCAGTTCTGTCTGTGGGTCCATGTTAAAATGATCAGCAAAACCTATTTGGATTCATGTGCAGGAGAGAGATCTTATGTTAGGACATGTGGTTCTAACCAATACTTCTGTCAAGTCCACAGAATTAGAAATGATCTGTCTTCTCATTTACTTAGAGCAGCAGAGCGTTTGAAATTAGCTTGTGAGGTGTGGGCTAGATGTAAGCCATTAAAAAAATTATATTCAGACATATTAAATAGGCCATATCAAGAATATGTTAATTTTATTTTTTTTCTAGCTCTGTTTATAATGTTGGTCAAGGTTCCTTGCACCAAAAACTAGTGATTTACTTTCTTTTTAATGAGCATTTTCTATTCTCTTTTTGACACTTTTTTATTTCCACTGTCTGTTTTTCCCCCCACAATTAATTTATTATTAGGCATTATTATTATTAGGTATTATTAGGCATCACAATGTTGTTATTATTATTATTATTATTATTATTAATAATACAATTAATAATAATAATATTATTATTCATAATAATAATTAATAATAAATATGAATAATTATTCACCTTAAGATGAAAATGTACTCATCCTTCTGTTGTTCTAAACCTATATGACATTATTTTTTCCTCTGTGGAACACAAATAGTCTTCTGAAGTCATATGTTAACTTTTTATGAGGAACAGACCAAATTGCATTGATTTTTAAAAAATCTTTTCCAGTCAGTGAGTTGACAATTTAAGAACTAGGTAAGGCCAGATTTGTTAACAGATCATTGAAACGATCCAAGAATGAGTAAAAGTTCAGAAGAATTTTGTCCTCATTCACTTCCATTTTAAAAGGGGTGGCTACATTTTGTGTTCAGTAGAAGAAATTAAGTCATACGAGTTTGGAATGACATGACATTATTTACATAATAATTAAAGGACTTTTCTACTGTACTGTCAGACTTGTTACTGTACCTTTAAGAGGTAATGACCTCTGCTTTGACTGACTAACGTCTTTGCATGTAAAAGAGTAACACTGCTTAGACGAGGTAGGTTTGCTGTCATGTACAATTGATATGAATTTGTAGCCTCTTTTGTGTGTGAAAGAACATGAGCACACCAGGGAAAGAGCTGCAGGATTGTGTGTTTATCTATGTGCATTAGTGCGTTTATAATTATGCCTCTGTTGTTCAGTTTCCTTAAAGTTGTGTTCCCTTTCTAGGCACACAAATCATACAAGAATACAAATACCAGAATGATCCATGCCTTGCCTTGCCTTATTAAAACAAGTGCATGCTAATTGCCATATGCCACCACCATGTGGACTGATAATTAAACTTGAAAGATCTTATTATACAGCTTTCTGGAATACTTGTTTCTTATTGGTCAAATATTTTTATATAATGATGACGCCTAAACTCTGGATTGGATCTTTGTCAATGGCAACCAACCTCATACTCGTCTCTCCATTGTCTTTCTTCTCGGATAATATATATATATATATATATATATATATATATATATTTAGATAATTTAGGGACATTTGTTTATTTATTTACTTATTAGGCATTTAATAAATATTGTAATTTATTCACAATTTCAGTCGGTTATTGACGCGAAATAAATCTGAATAGGGTGATCAGGACCTCTACAAATTAAAGGGGTTTTGTATCATCCTGAAGAGGTTTATTTTGTTCTTTAGATGATCCTGACATAACTTTTCTCTCATTTTCAATTGACAATTTATCACGTCACCCTTTACTATCAGTGTATCATCGTAATTTGTTTATCCTCTCTTGTTGGAAAAAGCATTAAGGTCCTGAAACAGGCCTTTTGAAGCCATAATTCAGTTTTAGGCTTTGGTATCAAAGACCTCTGTTTTCACCTCTCTCTCTGTCAGCGGAGCTTGTTCTCTTTGATATCCTTCACGTCATCTTAGAAACAAATTGCTTTGAGGTTCCTATCTGTATTTGTATGGCTTTGAAATCCCATTTTCCTTTGCACCCCTTTGCCTTATTGGAAACATTCCGTATCCGAATATCAATCCGGGTCTGAGCCAAACCATCTTGATCTTGTAAATAACATATCCCATACTGGATTTGATCTCAATGTTTAGGAAGAAAATAAAAAAAGCTGATGCTGTTTGTGATAATGACAATAATAGAGAATTGAGCTGGAGAAGTGCAGCTGTGGCCAGTCAAAACCACAGAAGTCTTATCTCATATTTGTTCTGCTGTGCGGCTGTGCGCTGTTGTCTAGTGAGAAGTTTGAGTGTGTGCTGTGGTGTTGAGGACGTGTCAGAATCATGCTGACCTCTCACTAAGACAGCATAGAGCGGATGGCTATTTAGGCAGGCAAGGTCTTTTTGATTTCAGATTAGCACTCTGAAGACAATGTGACCGTCAGCTAGGGTTGCCAAGCCATACTATATAATACAGAATCATCCTGTGTTAACCCTAAGTGGGATGTATTTTGTCTCATGTTTTAGTGTTTTGCTCCTGAAATACTAGGAACAGTATTTCCTGTTGGCATGTGTCAGTGTTATAAATTTCAGAATAGGATGGAAAACAAATTGCAAACGATATATGTGAAAGTGAAACAGACAGGTTTTCTGCAAGTTGTGTATGAAAGCCGTAACACATGCAGTTATGCATAACATCACCATTACATTAAAAATAGAAATATTTTGAAATATTATTACAATTTAAAATGACTGGTTTTCTATTTGAATATATTTTAAAATGTAAGTTATTCCTGTGATGGCAAAGCTGTATTTTCAGCATCATTACTCCAGTTTTCAGTGTCACATGATCTTTCAGAAATCATTCTATGCTGATTTTCTGCTCAAGAAACATTTCTGATTATTATCAGTGTTGAAAATAGCTGTGGTGCTTAATATTTTTGGTGAGATTCTTTGAAGAATAGAAATAACATTTATTTGTGCAGTTCTTGTGCATTGGTGCACATTTTTGACTGGATTTGTTGCTGTATTAATAAAAAATTGTTGAATTCAATGTAGGGCTGGGTTTAATCACAAATATAATATATTGCTTAAAAATGATAATCATGATTTTTAATCTCAATTATTCTTATCTGAAATAAATAAATATATAAATGGTTGCCAGATTGAGAAGATTAAGTAAAACGCTGGACTGGAAATGTATCCTTTTAAGAGAAAAGAGGAAAAAAAAATTTTTTCCTGACATCTGCCAAACCCAAGGAGGAAGGATTAGAAGACTTGTTACCAATGCAAAATAACAGAAATGCCTAAATGAAAAAAAAAATGTCAGGACAAATAATCAGCAACGATTATTTTTAATTAACTGAGAAGCAGAAATCGTTATCGCAATTAAAATACAATTAATCGTGCAGCCCTAATACAAAGTGCTTAAGTTTTTTTTTTTGAATTTTTATTCATTT